CCCTCCTACCCCCCCCCCCCTGTGCCGCCGCCATTGCAGTAAGTACCGCTTTATGTTAGGAGGGTACAAAAATTAGTATACCTTATGCTGCCATCAAGCGTTTGTTTTAAAAAGGAAACAGTGATATACAAAAAAAGAACACGTATTCAAGTTCATCATGGGTTCGAATGCCACTGATTTCGCCAATAGGGCAGGGCCACTTGAATATAACTTTGGCATGCAACGTTGAAAAGAATCACACGTAATTACCAGAAACGTTCCGAATGTTCGCAAGCACATTGCCGCAATTTGTACATTCAAAGGCAAATCTGGAATCATAAAAGTGTTTTTCAATAGGCGTCAAATTTATTTGGCAAAATATCTATTTATTTCCTGGTAATCGTACCCGAAAACAAACAAACTTTCTTCCTACAGGTAGAGTGACAGCGATTTTACATACATCGAAATACTAGGTCCACAGTAAATATAGGCTAACAACTAATCGGGTTAGGACCCAACTTTTACCCGAGTCGTCTCTGAGTAATTTCAAGCCTGCACACGTACCTGACTGGGTTGATGTGACGATATACTTTATGTCTATTCTCTTGGTAGACATGTACTTGTGATTTGATCGATTGTAAAGGTTGTATCTGCACGTAACTGCCAGGCCCATAAAAGGTAGTGAATAGCGAGCCCGCTAGGAATCCTATCAGCAAGAATGATACCCGCAGAGGTGTCTTCATTCTCCAAAAACCCATTGTCATTAGAGGAACAATTCACATGATGACAGTGGTGTTATAATCGTATTCCCCACAGCTGATAAGTCTAGACGAGGAACAAAATAAATACTACATTGATTTCCTGTCATATCCTGTCACGAAATCAAAGCATCTCAATATAAAACGAACTAAACTACGCCACAGTTCTCCAGTTAATTAGTATTTGAAAGCAGGATCATCCCTTCCATAAGAAAAAAGGCGCTACGAACTTTGTGTATATATTTACATAAACGGTGATAATATATAATAAATGCTAGTGTGTGTAACCATGACCTTAGATGGAAGGTCATGGCGATTTGTATGTAATGTTCACTAAGCCCAGTGTTTTGCGCTAGCTTAAGAATCGGTCAAATGTTCGAAATGAACATGCTTTAAGGTAGAGATGCACTTTATTTGTGAATTTCAATCAAAAATAGTTTTTTTCGTTTTTTATATAGATTTTTATCTAAAGAACATTCTGTGAAAATTTGACCAATGAATTCTTATTGGAACACCATTCAATTCACGCGCATGTGCAATTATTCTCAAATCAGTTCTCGCTCGCTAGCAAACCAAACATTATATTTCCTCAGCGTTTTTTCTTAATTTTTATCATTACATTATGCGTGGTGTGAAAAGAAAGAGAGGTAGAAAGAAGATTCAGATGATTTCTATGTCGGAAGATGCAAAAGCTACACTGAAGGCATCAGCCCACCGAACGAAAACAAATCGATGTGAGCGTCCAAACATGACTTTCCCTGAAGGCATGAATCCGAGTTTCTGATTGACTGAGAGATTTTAATTTTAAATAATTGTTCTCAAAAAATAAACTGAGCATGTGAAGAATAATTTAA